AGGCAGAGGAGTAGAAACAACAGCCTTGTCCAGCACGGAGGAAGAATTGAGCAGGGGGACCCCTTCGGACAGAGAATCATCGACATCAGTATGGATGGGCTCCGGAGAGTTCGGTGTTGTGGCGGATGGTGTGAGTTGGGGAGACGGGTGGTCCTCTGGATGTTGCTGAGGGAGCCATGTGTTGGCCCTTACGAGCATTGGATAGGAGGGCAGTGGGTATGGAGGTGGGGGTAGGTAAGCGCATGTGGTGGGACCAGACTCCCGGGTGAGTACTGCTGAGCTGGAGAGGGCTCTGATGAGAAGCGGCTGTGTGGGCCGGTGCTGGCTTTGCTGCGGGAGATTGATGGAATCACTGATCAGTGTGCGTGCACGGAGTACACCAATGAGCACGGAGAGGGCGGTGCCAATAAGGGTCAGCTAGCTGGAGGCAAACAGCACCCTGGGCAAACTCGTGGTGGTGTAGGGCTTGGTGCCACTGGCAACCACTGTCGGTGACAGTTGTTTCAGAGCAAGCATGTCGGTATGAGGTCTGTTGGCTGCCACATACGGGAGTGCTGGGTTCAGCCGGTACAGTAGGTGCCGATTGTTTGTGTCTGGGCTGACAGTGGGCCCTCTCAGGTGGTACTGCTGCCTTAGATGGTGCTGTTCCCGAAGTGCTGGGCCTGTCTCCAGGCTTCTCCCAGACACTTTATACACGAGGCAAGCCCACTGGACACAGGCATAGGTCTCAGCAGGACTCACGGTGTTTGAAGCCTGGGGATCCAGGCATGAGGCGAAAACGAGGCACAGGTGAACAATGGAGAAAAAAATTGGGGGGGATATAGTGTTGGGAGGATGGAATGATGAGGAAAACTGAGGACAACAAACACTTCATGGAGTTTGTTTTGTTGGTCAAAACAGAGGCAAGAAAAGAAGCTCCGTCTGCCGCAGTGGATGGTAGAGAAGGAACTGAGGGAGCCATGCTGCATGCATGCGCCTAACGAACACCAGCGGCACGAGGAGGCACCAAGGTATGTGCACAGCACAGCAAGGCACTGCTGGAAGAGTCTCCGGTCACCAGCACGAGGATGCACGAGCACCCATGGGGATATCAGTTGGAGAAGTGCTCTTTGTGACTGGTTTGGTGCCTTATAATGAAGGACCCCCAGTCTTGGGCTGGAAGTAACCCTGGGTATGTCTACACTACCCTCCTAATTCGAAATAGGAGGGTAATGTAGTCACACCGCAATTGCAAATGAAGCCGGGATTTGAATTTCCCGGGCTTCATTTGCATAAAGCCGGCCTCATTCCATGAGGAGTACAGCTAGTTCGGATTAGGAAGCCTAATCTGAACTAGCTACTCCACGGGGTTCGAACTGCCGGCATTTAAAAATGGCGCCGGCCGGCTTTATGCAAATTAAGCCCGGGAAATTCAAATCCCAGGCTTCATTTGCAACTGCGGTATGACTACATTACCCTCCTATTTCGAATTAGGAGGGTAGTGTAGACAGACCCCCTGTTTCTAAACAATTTGCCCTGATACGACCCTCTCAGTGCCCCTAGAACTGTCATATTACACCTCCCAGGCTTTCTGGAAATCTAAGTACACTAGAGCCACTGGATCCCCCTTGCCCACATGCTTCTTGACCCCCTCAAAGAACTCTAGTAGATTGGGGAATCATGACTCCCCTTTGCGGAAATCACATTGACTCTTCCCCAACGAATTATGTTCATCTGTGTGTGGTGGCAAGGTCCTTGCCCAGGCCCCTCGCCTTGGGACCCAGCCCTTCTTGGATTGCCAATCAATTGGAGACCCTTTCTGGTGTAGTCACCTGGGCCTTTACCGTCCGTGCTAATTTCCCACCACCTTCTATTTACAGATCTTCGGTTTTCCAGCAGCTAACTCAGCCAGCCTCTCCCTTGGGCTTGGGCACACACACAGCCACCCCCTGGCTCCTCACCCTTCCCCTTTCACTTCCCCTCAAGCAGCCTTATCTAGCTCTCTGGCTAACGAGGCCCACAGCTGCTTCCATTAGCCCATCAGGCCTGGGCTTGCTTAGCTGGCAGAAACTGGCCTTTTCAGCCAAGCTGTAGTGGCAGAGCTCTGCCACAGTGTCTAATAATTCTATTCTTTGCTATAGTTTCAACTGCACTGAAACTTACTTAACCTTACTTCAGCCAGTACAGAAGTTAGACTTACTGACCTGTAATTCCTAGGATCCTTTTTAAAAGGTGGCATCACATTAGCTATCCTCCAGTCATCTATTTCAGAAGCTGTTTTAAAGGACAGGTTAGAAACTCCAGTTAGTAGTTCTGCAATTTTACATTTGAGTTCTTTCAGAGCTCGTGTGAATGCCATTGGGTCCTGATTACTCGTTTAGCTTATCCATTTGCTCCAAAACCTCCTCTACAGACACCTCAATCTGGGACAATTCCTCAGATTTGTCACTTAAAGAATGGCTCAGGTTTGCGAATCTCCCTTAGATGAAAAGAATTTGTTTTGTTTCTCTGAAAGTACTTTATAGTTCTTGAATGCTCCTTTAGCATCTCAATCATTCAGGGTGTATCTATACAGCACCTTAAACTCAAAATAAGATACGCAATTTGTGCCACACAAATTGTATATCTTTAGATACTATTTTGAAATATCGTATTTTGAAATTTGGCATATCTACACAGTGCCAAATTTAGAAATAATGCACTATTTCAAGATATCCATTAACTCCTGTGGAACGAGGGTTATATAGGATGCCAAAATAGCACACCCGTTATTTCGAAAAATACTTTGAAATAATGGATGGCTTGTTAAGACGTAGGGTAGCTATTTTGGGATACCTCCGGTATCCCAGAATAGCTGTGCAGTGTTACATACCCCAGTGGCCCCACTGGCTGCTTAGCAGGATTCCTGTTTCTGATGTACTTAAAAATTGCTAAAGCGATGAGGAGTCCTGTGGCACCTTATAGACTAACTGAAGTGTAGGAGCATAAACTTTCGAGGGCAAAGACCCACTTTGTCAGATGCATGTCACATGCATCTGACGAAGTGGGTCTTTAACTGAAGTGTAGGAGCATAAACTTTCGAGGGCAAAGACCCACTTTGTCAGATGCATGTCACATGCATCTGACGAAGTGGGTCTTTAACTGAAGTGTAGGAGCATAAACTTTCGAGGGCAAAGACCCACTTTGTCAGATGCATGTCACATGCATCTGACGAAGTGGGTCTTTAACTGAAGTGTAGGAGCATAAACTTTCGAGGGCAAAGACCCACTTTGTCAGATGCATGTCACATGCATCTGACGAAGTGGGTCTTTAACTGAAGTGTAGGAGCATAAACTTTCGAGGGCAAAGACCCACTTTGTCAGATGCATGTCACATGCATCTGACGAAGTGGGTCTTTAACTGAAGTGTAGGAGCATAAACTTTCGAGGGCAAAGACCCACTTCGTCAGATGCATGTGACATGCATCTGACAAAGTGGGTCTTTGCCCTCGAAAGTTTATGCTCCTACACTTCAGTTAGTCTATAAGGTGCCACAGGACTCCTCGTCGCTTTTGCAGATTCAGACTAACACGGCTACCCCTCTGATACTTAAAAATTGCTATTGCTTTTTGAGTTTTTTTGCTAGCTGTTCTTCAAATTCACAACTTCTGGCAAACAGACTAGGGAGACCACTCTTGCCCATCCTGGTTAACAGCCATTGATATCCTTCACGAATTTATCCAGTCCCTTTCTAAATTTTATGAATACCTTGGTCTTCACACTATTCTCTCGTAAAGAGTTCCACAGGCCGACTGTGTGTAGCGTGAAGAAATACTTCCTTTTGTTTGAAAGCTGCTACCTCTTCATTTCATTTGGTGACCTGTAGTTCTTGTGTTATGGAAATGAGTATATAATGCTTTATTCACTTTCTGTACACTGCTTATGATTATATAGACCTCTATCCTATCCACCTTAGACATCTCTTCCAAGATGTCTTTTTAATATCTCCTCATATGGCAGCTGTTCCACAGCCCTGATCATGTTCTGCCTTTTCCAATTCCTATACGTCCTTTGAGATGGGGCTACCACATCTACACACCATATCCAAGATGCAGGCATACCATGGATTCATATACAGATAATGTGTTGTGTTCTATCTTTTTGTCTATCCCTTTCTTAATGACCCTAACATGGTGTCTGCTTTTTGACTGGCGTTGAACAATCAGTGGATGTTTTCAGAGAAATAGCCACAGTGACTCCTAACTCTCTTTGTTGAATGGTAACAGCTAATTTAGACCCCATCACTTGTCTCGTACAAAAACCAAGACGCTGTTGTTCAGCATGAGAGGCAGTAGTCTCAGCACACCAGCAGCCAAACTGTTATCAAGTTTTTTATAGGCATCATGGCAATGAAGAATTTCAAGAAGTATAAGATGATCTCTTAGCAGTTGTTTATGGAGAGCTTCTCCCCACCAAGAGGGGAAGCACCAGGAAGAGCACAAAGGGGCTCCTTCGGAAATTGGACAGGTGGATGATGGAAGGTGGGAGTCAACATCTCCATGTTATAGGAGAAGTGACAAGTATGGTGGGGATAGGCTAGGAAGAGTCTTGAAATGTAAGACAAGAAGCTTATGTTTGGTGTGGAAGAGAAAGGGTAGCTAACAGAGGAGCTTTGTGAGTTCCTCCCTTTCTGCCAGGCATGGAACTGTACTGACAGGGAAGGATTCTGACATGGTAATACTTTAATTGCACCAATTCTGTATCATGCAGCTCCTCTTAATCCATCTAAGCATGTGTAACAGGATGGGAAAGCCTAATACCCTGCATAAAAGCACAGGCACTGTTAGAGTGGATCAGCTGGGTAGTCACTCTCATTCTGTACGGTGCCTGACAGAGGGCAGCAACAGAGGCTTCAGAGAATGATGCGCACACAAGATACACAAACCCACTCCCGTATATCTACCCCCTTCAGAACCTTGCTGGGGTTTCAGCTGTTGGGACCCAAACGGATATAACAGGGCCAGGACTTCTCACCCTCCTCACCTGGGACAGCAGGGTTGGGCCCTCCAGGGTGGATTTCATCAGCTGGTTGACAGACAGGAAGAATTGCTGCAACGATGCCTGGAATTCGGCTTTTTCTTTCCCTTCATAGAGTCTGAAGCAAAACAAGCAGAACAAACATCACACCCCTGTTCACTACAGCAACCTTCTTAGCGCTGACATAATAAAGGATATATCCAAGGAGGCAAGAGTGTTTCCTACATGCCTGTTCAGACTTCATAAGCACATACAAATGGCCACACGGGGTCAGACCAATGGTCCATCTAGCCCATTGTCCTGTCTGCCGACAGTGGCTGATGCCAGATGCTTCATAGGAAGTGAACAAATCAGGACAAATGATATGATCCATAGCCTGCTATCCAGTCCTAGCTCCTGGCAGTCAGAGGCTTAGAGATGCCCAGTGCACGGGTTTGCATCTCAGACCTTTGTGGCTAAGCGCCATTGATGTACCTAGCATCCATTAATCTACCTAATTCTATTTTAGACACGTTACTTTTAGCCTTTTCAGCCCTTTCTCTGAGTCCCACAGGTCAACTGTGTGAAAAAATATTTCCTCATTTGTCATCAACAGGCTGCCTATTATCTCATTGGGTGACTCTGGGACCTTGTGTCACGTGAAGGGGGAAATAACCGTTCCTTATTCGCTTTCTCCAGACCATTTGTGATTGAATAGATCTCTAGCTCATCATCTCATTTGCAAGACGAACAGCCCCAGCCTTTTTAATCTCTCCTCTTATGTCACCTGTTCCAGACCGCTAATCATTTTTGTTGCCATTAGAATCATAGAACCCTAGGGCTGGAAGAGTGGAGAGGGAGGGCCTGGAGCCCTCTACCAAGGGATGTAACCTCCTCCCCTAATAGAGGCCTCTTCTTCTGATCACACTTTCGGAAGCAGAGCTTTCAAAAGTGAAAGTAGTTTAGACGCGGCTTTTTCAGCGAACGCCCCCCCCTTGTCGAAAAGCCGTGTAGACCTCATTTTTTGAAGAGGAGCAGCTTTTTGATAAGAACATAAGAACGGGCGTGCTGGGTCAGACCAAAGGTCCATCTAGCCCAGTAGCCTGTCTGCCCACAGCGGCCAGCACCAGGTGCCCCAGAGAGGGTGGACCGAAGACAACAATCAAGCGATTTGTCTCCTACCATCCCTCTCCGGCCTCTGACAAACAGAGGCCAGGGACACCATTTTATCCCCTGACTAATAGCCTTTTATGCTATTAACTTTTATGCTATAAATGGTGGGTTCGCTGAAAAAAGCCGCATCTAAACTACTTTCACTTTCAAAAGCTCTGCTTTTGAAAGTATGATCAGAAGAAGATATCGGAAGATATCCTGGGGAATTTACATATCCTCTTTCGACTGTTCCACGTAGTCTAGATGAGCCCTTACTGACTCTGGCCTTTGAGCTGCACTGCCCTGCAAACAGGGGCGAGTTACTGACTGTAGCTCTTGGGCTATACTGCCCTGTGAATCAGGGTGGGTTTGCTGACTGAGTAGGCCATTCAGCCATAGAACTGTGGGGGACCCATAGACATGGCTTGGAGGGAAAAGGCCAAGAATTACATGGGTGTTGCCAGAAGGGGGATAGGCACACTCACCTCGCACTAGGAAGGGTTGTCCCCAACTGCGTCACAGCCCCTTATCAAACTCTACCATTGTCAATGGTGCATCCAGCATTCTCCATCTATGGCCGGAGAGGAGGGACAAAAGGAAGGGAAGAGGGCAACCGAGCTTCAGTCAGGAGGGTGACTGCTAGTGCTCACTTTAGGAATTTTGGCATGGGGGTTCATAGGCAGCAGGCTTAAAACAAACCAAAGGAAATATTTCTTCACAGATGGCAGACACCCTGTGGAACTCCTTGCCAGAGGATATTGTGAAGGGCTAAAACAATAAAGGGATTCATAGAAGAGCTAGATCAATTCATGAAGGCTAGGTCCATCAATGGTATTAGCCAGGCTGGGCAGGGATGGTGTCCCTGGCCTGTGTCAGAAGCTGGGAATGGGCCACAGGGAGAGGGGAATCACTTGACGATTCCCTGTTCTGTTCACTCCCTCTGGGGCTCCCGGCCTTGGCCAATGTTGGAAGACAGGACACTGGGCAAGATGGACCCTTGGCCTGACCCAGTGTGGCTGTTTTTATGAGATAACCCCACCTGAATGGGGTTGTGAGGGACTCTGCATTGTCCACACACAGAAGGCTAAGCTCCCTGTCAGACATTCAGTGAAGAGGGAGAGGTCGGAGACAGCCCTTTCCTTTTGGCTTTGGCTTTCTTGGCCAAGGTCTCTGCTTGAAGGGACACTGGTTGCTGCAACACCTTAGCATGGGAAAGAAAGCTGAGAGGAAAATCCCCCCAAAGACAAACTTAGAACTTGGCTGCAAATTGGACGGACAAATTATTGATCCAAACTGTTGGTTTGAAAGGTGGAATCCTTCCCCCAGGAAGGCTGCGCAAGACAACCTGTCATGGAGCAGTATGGCACAGCTGGCTGAATTTCTGGGGATAGAACATTTTCCCGATGCTAGTGGCAGACAGGTCTGGTTCCACCCGGAAGCTGCAAGCAGGCTGGGGACTATTACACAATGAAGGATTCAACACATTTTTCACATTGCATTGGAGACTTTCAAACACATTAATGGGAGAAAATTGTATTTATCAGCTTAATAAGTAACTTAACGTTAGACTCCGCGCTAATAATGATTAACTGCTGTCAAGAAATCATCATTTGCAGACTATCGATCGATCATTTGCACATCACTGAATTTCAACTGCCCTTAGAGTGGAAGATGACTACGGTTTAACCATGACAACACCACTAGTTTAGGGCAGGAGAACAAAACATACTATATCCCACTGAAAATAGAAGGGGACTTCAGGAAAGCAAAATGTAAGTGCATGGGTTAGAATTTGGCTAGACAATCATCATTAACACTGTGACACCTACAGAAAGAGCCAAAGAACCCGACTGATCATGAATCAAAGTGACCGCTGCTTGACAGCCAAGAGGTGGCACCAAGAGCAGCACAGAGCTAGGCCAGTGGTGTTGACATGAACTCAACATTAGGGAAACACTGCTCCTGCCCCTGCACCACTTCCTACAGCACCTGGAGTCCTTCCTGTAGGTTTCAAACCCAAGTACTGAGCTGGCCTGGACCTGCTGAGCTTGAACTGCAGCCTGCCTGCTGGAAATATTCAGGACACTTACTGGGCAAAGAGGTGCCTGGAGCGGACAATGAATTTGAAGATGTACTCCAAGGTTTTGAAGGTGCGTAAGAGCGAATCGCAGGGCTCCCCTTGGCTGGCGGAGTTCACATACTGAGTCAGCACCGAGATCAGCTTCCTGCAGAGTGGAGACAGATGGGGAAGTTAGTGTGCCTCTTCAATCTGCCCTCCCTACCACAGAGTCTGGGCTCCCGTAGTATCCCACTCAGGCCTGAGCGGGAGGGAAGCTCAGTGAAGAGGGAGGAGCCTGCTCCAGTGCAGGAGTCTCTTCAGATTATCCTGACACCCGCAGCTCCAGAGCATCCCACGGTACCTCAGGTTTCTGATCTGCTGGCTCCGCGGCAGGGAGGAGACAGGCACGAGGCCCCTATGTAGCAGAGGCAGGTTCATGTCCTGACACTTACTTGTAGGCCAACGTGGCACTGAAGTGCTGCTGGATATAGGCCTCCAGAACAGCATTGAAGTGATGAAACTTCCTGTCAGCAATGAGCCCCACAATGAAAACCTGTGGGGGAAAACCAAGCAGGTGTCAGCAGTGATGTGGTACCAGGTCCGAATGCCTGGAGACTAGGATGGGGGGCATGGTCTCCTGCTAACAGAGCCAGTCCCTAGAGAGGGGGGTGAGCCCCACCACAGACGGTCCCTGGCTCCTGGATACCAAGGAAAGGGGTTCACATTAGAGCCTACCCCGAGTCCACCCTTTCTGTCCAGAATGGTAAACATCACAGAGAGCTGCAAACATGAAATGAGCTGCAAGGTGCCGACGTATCTGGGATGGGACCTCCATACCATATTGCCATGCAAGGGGTTAACAGAGCACTAGGGAGAACAGCCAATAGAAGGGTCTGTCTACACTACAAAGTTAATTTGAACTAACAGACGTTAGTTCAAATTAACTTTGATAGGCGCTACACATACAAACCGCTAGTTCGAACTTAATTGGAACTAGCGGAGCGCTTAATTCGAACTAGGTAAACCTCATTCCACGAGGACTAAGCCTAGTTCGAATTAAGTAGTTCGAATTAAGGGCTGTGTAGCCACTTAATTCGAACTAGTGGGAGGCTAGCCCTCCCCAGCTTTCCCTCGTGGCCACTCTGGGCACCACCAGGGAAACTCGTCTTCCCCGCTCCTGGCCCCGGAGCCCTTAAAGGGGCACGGGCTGGCTACGGTGCCCATGCCAGGTGCAAGCCTGCCAGCACCCAGCCA